ACCCCCGCCCGCCCAGCGTGCGCTTTTATTAGCCTTGACCTGGGCTGACGCGGTTCACGGTGGGACACGGTTTAGTCCGGCGCGTCCTGACCTGCCGCGCGGTTTGCATCCGCAGCTAAGTTTTAAAAAGCCCTGGAGGCTTTTAGATGCAAACGAAGAGCCGACGCCGCGCGGTCCGCCCGCCTGGGGGGCGCGGGGCACCGGTTAACCCCAGCGGGTTACGGTAGAGTTGGGTCTCACGGTTCAGCGGATGCCACGGACTCCCCCGGCTCCAGGGGCACGGACTGGTTTCAGCCGTCAGGAGCGTTGCCCTTGTGTCTGGCTTATGACGGTGAGAGGGACGCGTAGCACACGCTGGCCGGGTGCTTCCTGACCTGGACCTTCTTTGCGGCGGTCAGGAAGGGTTGGCTGGAGCCCTGTAGCTACAGAGAGCAAAGCCAAGCTTTTTGGCCCAAGGAGGGGGGGAGAAGACTTTATCTAGTTCATGTGTCGGACTTCCATTTCCTTGGGGAAACTGGGGTCCTCCCGAAAAGAGCAGCCGTGCTCGGAGGTCATGGCCGACCCGGCACAGCCTGCTCCATACCTCGGGCGGCCTCCGTCACTCCGTTCCTGCCCTAAGCCAGCTGCAGCCCCCTGACCATCGGGGACACGCGTCCTCCTATTAGGGCATGCCCCCCCCAAGGTAGGACTCCTTCCTATTATCCTGTTCCTCTCGATTCCCTGCAGCTGGAGGGACACCTGCCAGGCTAGCCTCGTGACAGGCACTGCAGGATGGGGCTGATTTATGCATCCTGCCTTCAGAAGAGCAACCACTAACCCCTTCCTGCTTTGGCCTAGCTGACATTATCCGTCGTGCAAACAGAGCTCCCGTGACTCGGCACTGGACCAAGGGATTTCTTTCTTAAAGGGAAACCCCAAGGCCGAGCTGCCGCGCTGACAGCATCCCTTTCTCTCTTGGTGCCCAGATGAAACCCCAGATGTTTACATCGTGGAGCGCCTCTTCTCCAGCAGCCTGGTGGTGGTGGTTAGTCAAAGCAAGCCGCAGCAAATGAACGTCTATCACTTCAAGAAAGGGACGGAGATCTGCAATTATAGCTATTCCAGCAGCATCCTGTCCATCCGGCTGAACCGGCAGGTAAAGGGTGGGGCCTTGTTCACTCAGACCTTAATAGGCAGTAAGTCTGGTTCTCCCTTCCCAGCTGGTTTTACACCATTCTCACTCATCCGCATCCATGCTGGGACGTGCTTTGAACAGCATTCCTTAGCCGCGCTCTGCTCATTTAGGATTTCCAGTCTCTTTCTCCCGTGTCCCTCCACGTAATCTTCCTTCAAATATAGGTCGTAGGGAATAGAGCGTATATTGCGCTACAGAAATAGCCTGCCCGACTGTCTGTAATTAACCGCTCCGAGGTTAGCAGCAGCGAGACCAGCAGTCAGGATCTCCAATAGATGAGCTCTGTCCTGAGCTTCCACCGAAGTTTTGTTTGATTGCAAGCTCCCTGGACCATGGGATGTGCTGGCGTGAAATTGGTCCTAAACTTAACTTTTCCTTGAAACAAAGCTTGTAGTGATAAGTTAAAGCAATGGCAGTTCACAACTTCTCTGGATTGTAGATTGGTATGTTGGAAATTTCAGTTCCACCACTCTGGAAGACCTGTGGTGGCACTAATGTCCCTGGGCACTGTGCTAGTCCATGGAGGATGCCACAGCTGGTGTGCTGGGGTCACTGGCTTGGGGCTCAAGAGGCCCTTTGTGATTCCTGTGGGAGGCAAATTGTAGTTGCTCTGCCTGAGTCCCCTGTCTATGCGGAGGTGATCAGAGCACTTCAGAGGAAAAGTACATTACAGACTGCAAAGCACTGGCACTCTGATAATGGGAGCCAGATAAAAACCAGGTGATAGATTATGTTAGGCATCAAGCAGCAGCCTGAGGGGGCAGCTGCATTGCTTCATCCTGTTAAGTACGCACAACATTTGGAAAACGCACATGGTAAGACCTGGGCCTTTAATGCTATTCTGTATTCAAAGTAATGCAAAAATTATTATAGTCCAGCCCGCATGGGAGCAGGTGGTGTCCTGTCAGCCTGGAATAGGAAAAGAAGGCACTTAAAAGCACCAAAGGGCACTTGACATATGGGGAAAGAGTGTTCTTACTAGTACGTACCTTCTCACACCTGCCACTGTACGCACAAATTTATTGCACATCAGCTCTCCCCAAAGTGTGACACCGACTTCAGCCAGCAGCATGCATGCAGGGCTCCCAGTGACAAAACTGTTGGTTTACCCTGGTATCTGAGCCGGTCTGGAAGAATTAGCAGAAATCCTTGGCTTGCTATGGGGGCTTAATCTGGCCCTTCCTATTCAAGAGTTAATCTGGTAGCAGTTAGGTTTGCCAGGTTACTTGGAAAAGCCTGGGCTTAGATTTCTGCGTGGACACCATGCTGTGTTGTCCAAACTCCATCACATCGTTTGGTAACTGGAAGGTTAGATGAGAAGAGATCCGCTCTTTGATTTAATTTGCCAGTGGAAAATCATTGTTATGCAAACTTGCAAATCCACTTTGCCTGCTACTCAGTCATGGAAACTCTGTGTCCAGCCGCATTATTACTTACATATGGTGGAAACCTAGATGTTTGTGTTCAGCTGGGGATGGGAAGGAGGGTTGCGCTTTGACTCACGAGAAGCAGCACTGGTATTTTAATGTGACCTCCTTGTGTTTTTCTTGGGTTTGCTGAGCTCAAGTCCTACTGCTGAAGCCTTTTGATCTATTCCATGACTGCTTTCCTTTCATATACCTACACTCCCTATTCCTCAGTGTGTAGGTGAAGATGACTAATTTGCTGTCCCTAATTCAGATCATATAACAAATTCTATGGAGCAGTAAGCAAGAGAAATGATCCAGACCATTTAATGTGTGATAACAGATCTGGAGTGCTGGCCCCATCTTGTTAAACAAGAAATAAAGATGTTTTTGCCAGGTCTCAGCCATTTCAGAAGCTCGATCCTTCTCGGATTAAGTTTGCATTGCTCTGCGCTGGTGCAGTCTCTCCTGCCAGTGCAAAGTAAGGGTACAACCAAGGGTACACACTGTGGTTCTCATGTGATCAGGTTTATTCTGTAAAGCACTGCACAGGGTGGGGGGAGAAGGGAAATGGAGAGCTAGGCTTTGAAACTCCCTGCAGACTTGTTCAGCCAGCCATGTCAATCTTCTCTCCTTTCAGCTGTCTGTTCCCAACACTCATCTACCATCTCCCTCCTGCCTGTTCCCTCCCAGCATCTTTCTTCTCCTGGTACAAGGAATTTGCCTCCCATGGCTCTCCATCTCGCATCTGAATGCATATTAGCGTCCTGGCCTTCTAGGGTAATGCCATTGTGGTGCTGAATTCTGCAAAGCCTCATGAGACCTTTGAAGGAAATCTGCTGAGTAAATATTAGTTTGATAGTCTTGGTTTTGCAGCTGACAGCTGCAACTCCAGAAAGCACCACTGAAATTATGCTACATTTCAGCCTCCTCCTTAGTCCTTGGTGGCTGTCTGAAACAAAGCCTTGGATGCTGTGGTTAGCAGGAATAGAAATGCCCCGTACGCAAAGGGCTGGATTTCAAGTGGCAGTGGGTCAAGCCTGCAGTCATGTGCTAAGGCGGAGGTTTTCAAGTGGCAGGTGGCTAAACTAAGTAGCTAGAATCCAGATTTAGACTTTAAATAAGTGGTCTGATTTCTAGCAGGGAGGAAGCTTCCCAAGTGTGGATCCTGCTCGGCTTCAGGCACACATGTTCTGGCCTCACCTTCCACTCCCAGGTTTTCAAAGGTGCCACTTCCACCACCTAAGTGGGAGCCATGCATGCTCTTGACGAGGTCCAGAGCTTGTTCTCTTGTTAGCATCAGCACAAAGTACGCTGGCAGCAATGCAAGGAGAATACAGCTCTCGCTGCGAGCGACTGGGGAAGTGTTGCCTTAATGTTAACATTGTAGGAACACTGGGTGCAGTTTTGTGTGTTTTATTTTCCTGTTTCATCCCCTTAGTTTAGCAGCCCTTGCCTTGGCAGCTGGCACTGTAGAGGTGAATGAAGGGGAGCACACAGTCCCTTTCACACCCACTGTCTCCACTGAGAAAAACATCCATGCTGCCACACGGATGACTCCCATCCCTCATTTGAATGCAGTCTCTTTGCACAGCCTCCCCCAAGTCATCCTTGCCTCCAGAGGAGGAAGCAAAAGATAGATTCATGCCACAGAGGCCAAGTGAGAAATAAAAGGGTGGGAGGCTTTTGTTTCACTAAGCTCGTCCCTTAGGCCCTGGAGTGGAGAGTACTGGAAGCCCCATTGCTTGGGGGCTTTCATGCTAACCCAGGCAATGTTCTGGCAAGTGTCCTGTGGGGACTGGCTTGTTACTCAGGAAACCAAAATGTTAAAATGAAAAGCAGAGGTGCTAGTCGGAGCTGAAACTGTTGGGTATCAAGGGATTGCAGTTGTGGGCCAAACAAGCCTTAGCATTCACCCTGCCCGGCATCTCTTCAAGTAGTCTGTTGCATTGGCTCTTTGCAGGAGAATGCAAGAGAGATGGAGATGTTTCATTTAATTTCCAAAGTAAGGCCAGTGTGGCAGCCCTGTGTAGGGCAAAGTGGAGGGCTTCTCAGCCACAAAATAATTGGGAGCAAGAGCATCACATTTCCTTTCCACATGGGAGTTTACCAGATGCCCGGTGGCTTCCTGATTGCCAGGGCTTCAGTGAGCAAATGATGAATGCAGCTGGTGCCTGGTGATATGTCCATGATGTATGTGTGTGTGACGGCCAGGTTAACTAGCTGTGGTTCTGTCTGCTGGGTTTTTGCAGAGGCTGATCGTTTGCCTGGAGGAGTCTATTTATATTCATAACATTAAGGACATGAAGCTTTTGAAGACTATCCTAGATACACCTCCAAATGCAACAGGTAAGCCAATGAGCCTGGATCAAAGAGAGAAAAAACAACTGGCCAGGCATTCTGCAGACAGCAGCAGAGACCAGAGCCTTACCATGAGCAGCTGAGCCAACCCACTGTTTACACTAGCAGCGAGACTCCAGAAGTGCAAGGAAGGTAGGAAATGTCACCAGTGGCCTGAATTTGACCCAGTATCTGCTGGGATTACACAGTTGAGTGGCTATATTATGACTGCATCAAGTTACAAGGAAACTGTTTAACTGAAGGGCTTAACCAGCATGCAGAAATGCTGTTCCACTGACGACTCCTCCCATTCAAGAGTTAAAGCTACAGGTCTGCCCAAGTTGATCCAGGCCATGTGACTAAGACAGGCCAGCTTCTGTAGCCAGTGACGTGGCCACCCTTGACTTCCCAGGTGTCCATTACAGCCAGGTGGGCTCAGGGCAGGCAGCAGCATGGTGCTTCACTCTCCTGCTTTCTGGAGCTGCAGCAGGATGCTGTAACTGCACTGCAGCCCCCTCCCTGGGTTTTCACAATACAAGGGAGCAAGTGTGCCTTGAAATTCCCAAACCCTGTTGACTCTGACTGACCTTGACACAGTAGTTTTGGGAAGAGGAAGGACTTCCCCTCCCTGAGCATAAGGGTTTGAGCTGCAGCCTGCAGGGTGCATGGTGTCCGGGTGCTTGGATGCCAGAAATCAGACTGCCCTGACCCCTGACAGGCAGTCCTCTGTCCTAAGCACCCACTTCCCATTTCCACCGTAGCTGCATTCATCCTTACTGCCCCTGGCCCCACCTCATGCCATCCTAACTCAGCCCATGTGTAATGGAGAGCTCCCACCCTACCCCAGAGCTTGCCTTCGCTCTTAGCTCAAGCAGCACAGTTTGGGAGTAGAACCACAGCAGCTTAACCACATGCACTGGCTACCTCCTAGGTACCAAGATTAGCATTTCCCCATTCAGGACTTCCTGCCCTTCTTTCTCAGCATCTTGCTTCAGAGATGTCCTCAGCCTGTGCAAATGAGACCCACCCTCTTGACCGCAGGCAGGGTAAGTCAGCAAGACAGCTTTACACCTCCACAGTGTCTTGGCAGCTTGACACCCAATACCAGACCTGTGCTCAGACAGTGCCCTGGATTCTCTCTAGGCCAGTGCACGTCCTCAGAGAGTCTCTCAGCTGATTACCGAGGCAGATGCTCCCTTGTCGGGCGCCTGCCAGGGGCAGCCCACTGATTAGTATGCTGTATAGGGGACAGTGCATGGCCAGGGAAAGCGCCAGTTCAGCGATTCTCAACTTGAGCGCTGTGAAACGCTGGGGCACAGCAAGTTCCTTTTAAGGGCGCTGCAGAGTGCCACACAGTGTTCGCACTGTTAGGTGTGCAAATGCCTACGCATGATTCACAAGTGAAACCCAGAGATTACCAGTAGGAATCCGGAGTGTCAAAGCCGTTCTGTCCCGTTGTGGTCTCTTTGCAAGAGAACAGTTGCTCTGTTATTTTTCTGTAGTCAAAAAATGACCGAAAGCCAAGAGCTGACACTTTGAGGGGCCGTGTCTTGAGTTTAAAAAGAGTGAGCACCACTGCGCTAATTCAGCACGTGTCTAAGCAGCATCTGCTGGAGGAGGTCCTGTGGAGAGTGGGCCATGGTACATCTCAAGGACCAACCTCAAGGGAGGGCCTGGGGCTTTAAAATCTCTCATTCCTTGGGTGATTCCAGCTCTCCTGCTAGGCCACAAGCTGTTGCTGCAATGGGAGGGCAGTGCTGGGCATTTGGGCCAGGACCCATGGTGCATTGTTGCAACATGACAGCAGGTTGCAGCATCCCCTGGGGCACCTTTTGCTGTAGTCACAGACACAGTTCACCACCTGGGACAAACGTTGGGCTCCTCAGCTTCCAAGAGACGCAGCTCCGGGCATCCATATTGCCCTACTTCAGCCCCTGGACAGATGGCCCTGTGCTGCGGATTAAACGCTAATGCTTCAAATGTCACTGAACGATCCCCATGCAGAGGATGCAAGCTGCCAGGCTTGAGGCTGTTCTTGAGGATCATAACATGGTGCGATAACTTTGCTTCAGAAGCCACGGCCCGTGATGCGGATGGCAGTAAGCTGAGGAGCCAAGATACTGCTGATGTTGCTAGACAGAGAGAGCACCCTCTCAGGTCCTGAATACCCGTGCACGGAGACGTGGAGCTGTCATTGAAAGGATGAGCACAATGCTGCCTCTGATGTGGGCCCTGACACTTAAAGCTCAGCTTTCACATGCAAACCTGCCGTGGGCAGTGTCCTGTAGGGCCCTGAGGAGGTTGCTGCCCAGGTGAGCAATGACCTGGACTGACGTGTGTGGCACCCGATTTCTTCCCTGACTGCACCCAGTCTCTGGTGCCTTGCACGAGAAACAGGTTCAGGATTGGTGCCAGTGGGTCCTCCACCCTCAGCTGTCCATCACTGTTGGCAAAGGTGCCCAGAGGGGTCTTGCAACCTGGCAGAGCTGTTCCAGCAGGAGCAGGCAAGCACCTTTCATAACCCCCCCCGCCATGAGCCAGGGTTGGCACAAACACATTTCCTGCCCTGGTTGCACGTGGTGCCTTTCCAGGAAGGCTGCATGGCCCTTTCGGCAAGGTATGACAGCAATTTCCTCAACGTGGGGCAGTTGTGAAACGCCCCGAGTGGGGGAGCTGATAACTGTTGCTGGCAGGTCCCTGGCAGGAGATGGGTTGCATAGCGCTCCTCTGGGAGGGAGCTGCCCACGGAGATTTGCAAACCACTTGGAGGGACAGAAGGAAGCCCAGCCCTCTGCTACAGCCACGGGAAATGAAAGAAAGGCCCCTATTAAGTGCTTCAAAGGCGTACGGCAAGGCTGGTCTCAGGCAGGATGGAGGCTCCTCCATCGACAGCGCACAAGCCCAGGTTCACGCTGGCTACAGGATGCACAACTGTGTCCTCAGGACAGAATCCCTGCTGCTGCGCTATAGGATGGTGGTGGTGTGTTAAATTAGGTGGACGCATTGCTGTGCCTCTCCCTGGAGCCTGCTGCCCAACATGCTGTGGGGGCCGGGAGGGGCCTTGTTGCTGTGTGTCTCGAAACTGAGCCACTTGCTGCTGTTTCCCTCGTCTCCATTTTGGGGGCAGTGGAACGTACCTAATCTGGCACTCGGCCTTGCTGCTGCCTTAGTTTGCCCTCTGATTGTCTAGGACCCACTCACAGGCTCTCCTCATATGAGATGACACCCCCCGATGATCATCCAGATGATGTCCAGTCCAAGGCAAACCTAGTCTCCCCTGGCTCCACAGCTGTGGCAGACAGTTGTTGCTCCAGGCAGCCCCCAGCCTGCCAGCAGTCCTTAGGGTGGCATGCAGCCAGCCACCTTTGCATCCATCCCGGCCAGCACCAGGAACTGGGCCCATGACTGCATGGCCTGGGAGCCCTCTACCATGCAGCACTCTGAGATAAGCCTACCCCACACCCTTGGAGAATTGCTGACCCATGCATCTCCTCTGCAACGATCCCTTCCTTTGTGCATCTTTGAGGTCAGCTCAGGGTGTTCATATTCTTATTTTTGCCCAGCTTGGTTTCCTGTTTGAGTCTCCCAGACAGGCTGCTTGCAGGATGCTGCCGACTCCAAATGCAGTTGGCTTAGACTTGCTTGCACCTTCTCTAGCCCCAGAGTTTCAAGATAATAGCTTCACTGTCTGCTCTCTCTCTTTAAATGGGGAAGGCGTTCATCTGGAGAAGCCTCTTCCCTTTTCAGCTCTTCTCTGCAGTTCCCTCCCATCTCAGCCAGGTCAGGCTTGATGTGCTGCTCTGCATTGTTTTTAAATGCAGTTTCCCAAGGCTGGCAGATCATAGCCTCGCACAGCACTATCAGCGGCACCGTGCAAACGCCCTGTTCTGAGGAGTGGTCTCTTAGGCTCTGGGATGCTGCTGCGGTTCCCCTTCTCCACCTAGGGTCTTTTGTTCTTTCTACACAACGATGTTGAACAGTATTTCTCATCCATGTTAGACTCACAGCTGCCCTCAGAAAATGCCAGCTCTTCACTTTCCCCTGTTTTTTGACTGTTGAAAAATAACAGCAATTCTTGTGTTGCAGAAAACCCAGGCAAGGCAGAATAGTTTGGACACTGGAAACCTGGACATCCCTGGGTTTATCTTGTGAGCCATGTTTGCACACCTAAGTGCTGCTGTTGCATGGCACCCTGCAGCACCCTTGCAAGGATCTTGTGGCACCCCAGGGTGGTCTAAACAACAGCTTTGGCTGGGCATTTGCCAAGGCAGCATCCTGGCATGATGATGTGTGCCTAGGCCTTTTCTGTTTGGGGAGCAGAGCATGATGACCCGCTCCTGATAGACTTTGTGCTTGGCTCCCAAACGTGTGTCAATATGACACATGTTTGGGGAGCCAAGCACAAAGTCTATCAGGAGTGGTGATAGCCTTCGACCCCGCAGCTCAGCCGCATGTGACATCTTCCACACTGTGCTCTTCATCCAGGCTGCCTGGGAAATCCCGGTGCTGACAGGGTCACAGTGCCTGCAAGTTGTAATAGCAGTGGTTGCAGTAATGGCATCAGTTCTTCACTCATAAGCTGGGGAAGCACTGCCCTGTCTCGCTGCGGTGTTGGGAGAACAAAAGCATTACAGACTGGGTCGCGCAGGAGCTGCAATATTGAGGGCTGTGCAAGTAAGATAGATAACGCTGAAAGCCTCCTTCCCAATTAACAAGCACCCAGATTCCCCTCCTTTCTAGCCAGATATTGCTAGAAGTTGGCATGTGAAATACTGATGGAGTTGGGCTGGCTCAGCCCGTGGGTTGCTTTGTGCAAGCCCTGACAACAGGCTCAAAGGAGCCCTGAAGAGAAAATACAATGTGTGATACTTAGAGGACGGTGGGCACTGGACCAGGACTCGAGTGCTTTGGGGTCCCTTCCCAGTTCTGCCACCACCACCTCTCTGCATAACCTATGGCAAGTCACTTAATCTACCCTGTGCCTTCATTCCCCTCAGGAAAATGGGGATAATGCTCCTGTACCATGTGGTGGCACTGGGAACACAACCTCTACACAAACGCTCATAGTATGGGAAACAAGCAGGAGGAACTTCCCCTCCTGCTAGCTGGCACCAACCCAGACATAGTGGGGCTCACTGAAACGTGGTGGGACCCAACGCATGACTGGGCGGTGAATATCAAGGGCTATCGGCTGTACAGGAGGGACAGGACAGGGAGGAAAGGCGGGGGTGTGGCGCTCTACGTCAAGGAGGAATACACATCCTCACCAGGTAGCACAGAGTCAGAGGAGGGGCACACGGAAGTGCTCTGGGTCCGAATACAAGGCAGTCGCGGGGAAAGAGACTTAATAGTGGGGGTCTACTACAGACCCCCCAACCAAGGGGAAGAGCTCAACCAGGAATTCTCCAGTCAGCTCACGGAGGTAGTTGGGTCAAAGGACGTCGTCATCATGGGTGACCTGAACTTTCCAGACATCTGCTGGGAAGAGCAGTCAGCCAGGTCTGACCGCTCACATAGGTTCCTAGCCCAAATGCAGGACCTCCATCTAACCCAGGAGGTGCACAGCCCCACCGGGGAGACGCCTTGTTGGACCTGGTGCTGGCCACGGGCGACGACCTGGTGCGGGGGCTGCGGGTGCTCGACCATCTGGGCGACAGCGATCGTTGCCTGCTGGAACTCACCATCCAGCGCAAGGTGGCAAAGGCCTGCAGCAAGGCAGCAGCCCTGGATTTCAGGAGGGCGGACTTCAATGAGCTACAGAGAATAGTCAGGGAAGCACTGAGGTCCTGGAGGGCTAGTGATGCAGGCGGTGCAAGGGTCTAGGCAGGGGGAAATCAGAAGCATTTAAAGGGGCAAGCTGCTTTCCAGGGCAGAGCCGTATCCCCACGTGCCAGTAGGTGTCGGCAGAGGCCAGAAGTTTCCCGTGGGTTTTCCATGCAGCAAGTGTCCGGCTGCCAGTCCTTGGAAATGATGCCACTTCCCACATCCAGTGCTTCTCTTGTTATTCCTGTGCTTGCCCTGTACCCGGCAATATCCTCAGCTGTGTTTTCTTTGGCTTGCTAGGTTTATGTGCGCTTTCTATTAACCATTCCAACTCCTACTTGGCGTACCCTGGCAGCTCGACGACTGGGGAAATCGTGCTTTATGACGGAAATCATTTGGTAGGTGTGAACCGACGAGAGGGTTCCCGGGCTTGCACACACTGAAAACAATCTGTCTTGGATAAACAAGCTTAGGCTCAGAAAAGCCCAGCAAATCCACACTGCTGCACTGCATGGGAATCTAGCCCCAGACTGTGGAGCTGGGGGGGGGGGGGCAGTCTACACTTCTGCTCACTCACACCCCAGACACAGCTCAACTGGTCCTGAGAGCAATGCAGCTGGATTTAGGGTCCGAATCATGCTAAGCAACTCTGAACTTCATATGAGGAAGGAAACCAGCATTCCTGCCCTGCATGCAGAAAGGGGCAGCTTGGGAGAAATGCATGGTTGAATGGCCCAGGGTAGAACAAGGAGAGGCAGTGAGCAAGCGTGAGAAGAAGCGTGTAACTAGGAGTGCTCACAGCCCCTCACTCAGCCCTCACTATTTTCTCTCGGGGTGAAATCCCATGCTTGAAAAACTGAGTTACCTCGAAGGTGAGCGAGACCTGGAACTCAGCTCTGCCTGGGCATGAAAAAGTACCAGGCATCGAAGGAGAAAGGGACCAGGGCATTGGCTACACTATGCTCTGATCCAGAACTGCTAAAGGACTTGTGAGTGCTGGGCATTTCTTGGGATCAAGCCCAAGAAATGCTGATGCTGCCTGGTGGCTGCAGGAGGTGGGCTGGAGGGACAGAAATGAGTGAATGCCTGAATTTAGAGGTGAGCAGAGGTGGCACAGGAGGAACATCCGTGGCATGAGTGCAAGTGCAGAGGAGAGAGCACAGTCCCACTCGTGCTCTGGAAAGGACAGCCTGAACAGCAGGCGAGCTTGGGTCTGGAGGGTAGAAGAGGCTAAAACAGGGCAGGAGACGGTACTGCTGTTTGGGTTCATGTTCCCTTTCCATCCACAGAAAACTGTCTGCACGATCCCTGCCCACGACGGGCCCCTGGCTGCGCTTACCTTCAACTCTGCTGGATCAAAGCTGGCAAGCGCTTCAGAGAAAGTGAGTGAGAGGTCTGCTGCAGACTTGCCCAGCATGCCGGCCAGGCTCAAGCAGCATGTCTGCAGAGAAGGGTGGGCAAGGCCAGATCCTTTCTGGGCTGGTTCAATGTGGTTCTGTTTTAGAAAGGTCTAGCTCCGGTCTTGAATAAGGGGAGCGGCAGGGACAGGTGCGATGGCCTTGTCAAGCCAGAGAGCTGATGTTGCTTTGCACAGGTCCCTGGGTGGGAAGATGGAGATGGCTTCTGCGTGTTGGACTTTCCCCAGGAAAGCCACGGGGAGGAGGCTTTTTCTGCTTGCTGTGTGACCTCCCCTCTGCACTTTTGCAGGGCACCGTCATCCGTGTGTTCTCCGTGCCTGAAGGGCAAAAGCTGTACGAATTCAGGAGAGGAATGAAGAGGTCAGTTTTGCTCCTTCGACTCGGTGACATGCTTCGATCAAGTAGCGATCTTACCCACTTTCTGTGCCAGGGCAGTCCTCACCATTTATGCTTCCTTCCAGCCCAGTGAAGTACCTCTGTGCTTCAGTCCCCTGAATGCTGCCTTTTGCCCAGCACTGGCAGGCGCTTGCTTCCTAGGCATGGTATTGCTGGCAGGCTTTCCCTCCTGTCCCCTCAGCTGTGGGAGGAAGCTGGATCCAGGTAGCACCAGAAGGTCGCAGATCCATGGGGAGGGCCTTGAGAAGCATCCTGGAGCCATGAAGCCGTTTTGCTTTGGCTGTGTGTAGTGATTCCCACCTGCCCCTTGCAGAAGACGGTGGTTGCAGAGGATGGGAGCGCTTTCAGTGCCCCGACTCCATGTTCTTTCCTGCTTGAAGTAGTGAAGTCAAGATAGACAGTGTACTGATTATGGTGTTAAATGCTGCTGTTGTGATTCAGTTTGGGGTTTACCTCCATTTTGCCCAAGTATAAACACCTACAAAGCAGGGGCCTCTGCCTGGCGGGGGAAGAGAGGCGTATCTGAATTGTCCCATGCCTTGGTCAGAAGTTTTGGGTCATCACATCGAGTTCTTCATCAACACTGCAGCCCTGCTAAGCTGGAAAACTCTACTGCTTTAGCTATTATTAGTAACACATTGTATTTGCTATGCGAAGGGGATCAAGCAGCGTCAGTAGAAGGCCCCTTTAAATTCTCATACCTGCATATACACACAGGACCATGCCTGCCTGTCGGTTCCCCAACCATCCCGACACATCCCAGTACAAAGTGAGAGTATAGGCCTGGCCTCAGCAGCACCAGCAAGGAGCAGCCCTCCCTGCTGATCAGCAAACTCTGATCTGAGCATGGTGCCCTCTCCTTGCCCTCTACTCCCCACTTTCCATGGCACCAACTCCTGCCAGAAGCTGTCCTGCTCCTGCCCTTTGGTTTGCCCCTTGCTGGGCGGCTGGGGGATGCTGACAGCCATGTCACATCTGGCAGGTTCCCCAATGCACTGTGCCTCTGATCTGGCATCCTTACTGGAGGGGGGGGAAATAGGGCTGCAGCTCCATTTTCAGGCAGACCTCTTGGGTGGGGCTTAGTGTGACCAGCAGCACCCCCAGTCCAAGCTAATTATGTGCAACCCCAGCTTTCTTGCCAGTGTGGCAACGCCTGAGTGGGCAGGAGGCTTGGCCAGTCTCTGCCTCCTCCTCATCCCCTGCCAACAGGGAGGATCTGTAGTTGTCTGCAGTGGCGCTTGGTTAGTGGTGGGCTATGAAATAACCAGCCCCCTTGCTTTCCTGGCCACAGGTATGTGAACATCAGCTCTCTTGTGTTCAGCATGGACTCGCAGTTCCTCTGTGCTTCAAGCAACACTGAGACTGTGCACATCTTTAAACTGGAACATCTCACAGACAGGTGAGGGGCTCTGAGCCACACTGCATAACCCAGGGACTCTCTTTTCCTCTGCAAGGCGTAGTCGCACACTCCTGCTACCCTGTAATCAGGCCTCAGACTTTGCCCTCAGTGACACCAGCAGCAAACTGCCTCAGTGGCTTAATACTCTCAAGGATTTGCTGCTTTGGAAACATGGCCTGTATTCCTGCTGGTAGCTGTCACAGCCCGAGGCACATTGTGGGCTTGCCTTTCTTTGGCTTTGCCCACCTCTTGCTTCCATGGCTCCCTGCCAGCGCTCGACATTGTTGAGCAAGGCTACCCCTCTCAGCAGGGTGCTGCTGATGTCAGAGTTGCTATAGCAAATGTAGGCAGTGTTGCTAAGAAGCTGCTGGGTGCATGGCACTGGAAGCAGGGGAAGGGTCTTGCTGCAGGTGGTCAAGTGCTTAGCTGGCCACCAGGTTCAGGCAATTCACCTACTGGGAGCTTTTCCATCACCTGCGGAAGCTTGTCACAACTTGCTGCACTGAACTGGATCCACAGTAGGTCTGGGACCGCAGCACAAGCCTGCCCTGGTACGGCAGGTGATAGAAAACGTTGCTACCCTGATTCCTTAATTCAGCTGCTGCTCTGAGGTTGCTTCAGCTGGGGAGGTGCAAATGAGGGATTTGGGAAACATTTCCTGTAGTGCCTGTCTGTCCAGGCCAGCTCTTCACTGCAGCATGAGAGGTCTGTGCATTGCTGCAAGTGGGGAGCCTATCCCCCCTCAGAGTCCAAAGCGCTCTGCAGGAGGCCCAATACCACTGTCAGAGATATGCTATCCTCAAGGATCAGGTGAGGGCACGAGGGACTGTTTTAAAGCAAGACCAGGGCAGCTGCCAAATCCAGTAGCATGGAGCAGCCTGTATTTCAGGCTAGTGTGATAAACGGGTGCGCTGCTCATGAAGTCACGCCCACTTCCATCCTCTGACCACAGGCCAGAGTTAGTCTGCCCTGGCAACCTGGCCCATCTGCATGCTCATAAAGCCTTAAGAGTTGCAGACTAAATGTCTGGTCTTAGGTTTCTTCTGGCCAAACTTGTGGAATAACACGTTACTTTCCCCCCAGTCACCCTCCTGGCAAAGGTGAGGGCACAGACTATGCCTGGGCTGGCATATTTTAACATGAAAGCAGGGTCTGCATGACTGGCCATACCCAGCAAACCAGCTTGCAAAAGTCTCCATGGGAGGGGGAATGTGCAGAAATCCCCAGCAGGGCACTGCCCTTGCCTAGTCAGCAAACCATGTTGATAGGGCTAAGAAGTTATGCAAAAGTGGTTCAGGAAACTCTTGCATGCAGTTGCACCAGCTGGCCAAGGGCAACTTGATGCATAGCTATTTCAATCTAGATGTACTTGCTAAGTAGCTGCAGCCCATGTGGTTTTGCTGATGGTAGTTGCGGTAGGCACTGCACACAGCCCAAGTGACAATTGTTCTCTTGCCCCCAGCCGGCCAGAAGAGCCTCCAACTTGGAGCGGTTACATGGGGAAGATGTTCATGGCAGCTACCAACTACCTCCCCTCTCAAGTGTCAGGCATGATGAGCCAGGACCGAGCCTTTGCCACTGTCCGTTTGAACTTCTCGGGACAAAGGAACATCTGCGTGCTTTCCACGTATGTAAGAGCATCTGTATGCTTATGCCCCAGTGGCTTGCAGAGGGTACCCTGCACACACAGGTTTTGTTTCCTGATACAGCACCTTCACTGTTGTGGGCCAGCAGAGAAGGGGGCAGCATCTCCTGGGGCTAGACTGCCTTCTCCAAACCTCCTGGGCATGTGATGCCTCTGGGGGGAGGTACAGACCAGGCCCTCTGCAGGCCTTGCCCTCCCCACTCGCACTTAGGCTTGGTCAGTGCACAAACTTGCACCAGCTTAATTAAGCCAAAGCAAAGACCCATGTGGATATGCCAACTACAGAAGGCTAGCCATTACACAGGATTATTGCAAGCTTCTTCATCATGAGCTGAACTGAAATAGGTCTGATTTAAACTGAAATAAGAGTGTTTCCACGGGCTTTTGCACTGGTTTAACTACATCTGTTGCAAATGATGCCTTAGCTGGAGGTGCCATTTACTCCCAAACTCTGATCCTTCCTGAGCACAGATGAAAAGTGTTACCCCAAACTTGAGGGGGTGGGGTAATCCCTGCCAGCCCACCCCCAGTTCCTGACCTGGCCTTGACAGATTTAACCCCTTGTCTCCCTGCTGAGGCCACCTTCCTATGTTGATGTTAGCATGTAGGTCCATGAGTTCATTTTTCATTAGGATCCAGAAGCTGCCTCGACTGTTGGTTACCACATCAGATGGACACCTTTATATCTACAATCTGGACTCTCAAGATGGAGGAGAGTGCATCTTGATTAAGAAACACAGGTAACTGCATCCCAGATGCTCAGATACACCAAACATGTTTCATGTATGGCCTGTATCTTTAAAGCATAGAAAAAGCATAGACAACCTGGCTGAGAGCTGATTTCTTTTTTGGATGGGGAAAGTAAGTAGCCTGTCCCTCAGGAGAGGCTTTATCCAGCTTTTAAATCCTCTGGTCCTCATTGCACCGTGCCACAGGCATGTGTGATAGCAGAAGGAAATGACCCCTGTATGGCAGGGACAGGAGCACTAGATTTAATGCCATCTCCGTGCTACAGAATGACGGGACAGGGTTGATTGTGCCGAGCTGGCAGGCAACCTCTGTAAATAAATGCACACAAGCAAGCAGCTGCAAAGGCAGCCCTTCCAGGTAGTTGTGTAATTTGTATGCAAATGTGAATGACATAACCCAGCGGCGCTACCCTGTGGGTTGGGTTTGAGATGGGTTGTATCCTGAGCACTGGCTGGGCCAGCTGGCAGGCACATGCCAGCAGTCTGCTAGGTCCAAAAAACAAACACACTTGAAAGCTAAGCAGCCCAGAGTACAGCGTACTCCACCCTGCCTGGGTCATTCAAACACCCATGACACCTGTGTTGTCTTGCCACATACCTACTACCCAGAGCTGGCACCAGAGTGGGTGTTTTGACCTAACTTCTAGTCTCCTTATTTAGGAATATTGGCCTGGCAAGGACCTTCAGGGTCACTGAGTGCATTTGCCAGCCACTGCAGGCAACCAGGCCCTGTATTCCTCCCACGGCACTACTGGAAGACTGTTCCCAAACCCCTCTAAAACGTGCTCCTAATTTCCAACCTAAATTCATCCACAACCAGTTCATACCCATCTTCTTGTGCTTGCATTGTCGGCTTCCCTAGTTCTTGCCCCCCCCCCGCCCATGTACTTAGAGGGCAGGCAGAGCCCTTTTGTCCTGATGTTGTGTAGCATTGTTGGCATGTGGAGGGGACTTCAGATGAATGGGTTACCTTGACCCTGCACCGCCATTACTGTGTGATGGGCCTGGGGGTGGTCAGGATTATTGCAGGGGGGAGTGCAGTTTCCAAGCTAATTTTTTCCCCCTTGGTTGCTTCCATGCAATTAGTCTGCTTGGGCCAAGGAAGATGGAAGAGAACAAAGAAAATGACCTCCGGCCTCCATTACCTCAGTCCTACGCAGCAACAGTAGCCAGACAGAGTACGATGCCTTCGACCTCGTCCATGCCAGGTGAGAGCAAGCTGGGTATGCTGGCTGCAGGCTGAGTGCTGGCGGGCTCCCGCGGTGAATTCGTCCATTACTGAGCAGGGGGTTCCCCTGCGTCTGCATCAGCAGTTTCCACAAGTGCAGCCTGTGCAGCAGGTCGAGGAGGTTTGTTAACCGAGGGCATATTCCTGATTCCTGCTACTGGCTCAAACCAAAGTAGTTCTTATGCTTCCCAGGGGTCTGTCAGGACCTTCTGGCACCTAGCTGATTGCAGGATGTAGCTTCACTGCAAATGAAAGCCCGTTCTCCTGTGCTGGCCTGCTCCCTACCCCACTCCATGGTAGCATGACCGATTCTAATAGCGCAGGAGGATGCCATCATGATCAGAGTGGATATCCACACATCCTCCCTCGGATCCTCCTCTCCAATACTCTTTGTTACTCTGGGCAAGTCACTTAACCCTTGTGCCTTGAATGAAAATGCAGATCTGTAAGCTGAATCTGGCTCAGGAGAGTTGTGAGTTTAGATATTAATA